TACAGTTCTACCCAGTTCTGTATTTCTAAGTGAGATATACTTGGCTCTTTTCAGACATTGCATCCATCTAGTTTTATGCATTTGTGTGTACTTTACACTGCCCTCCCAGACAGCAGTCATCAATATTTAGCAGGCAGCTGCTCCCATAGACTTAAGGCTTCTGCTAATTTGACAAGGTCAAATGTGGTGCTGTTCACATTGCAAACCAATACAGAAGCTAAGGCTAGGTTTTTTCTTGAATTAATCACTAAATCATTAACTTCTCTGTCACTAAAAAACTATCCTAGCTACTGCCACTGTCCTTTTCAATCAATATGTTTTAGACAGGGAAGGCAAGTCCTTATCTCCCATAGGAATGACAAGACCAAAATTACTAATTTTACCTTCACTGATTTAGAATCGAATGTAAAGAGATACTACTGCCCTAATTGTCCAATTCCAGCACACAGCACATTCTTCCCAACAGTTTGTTCAGTACATCTCGGTCAGGATGAATCATTATTGAACAGATTCCATCAGACACACAGCACTATTGAAGGCCACACGACTGTTTAAATGTATGTGTGTGCGCGTGTATGCCATGTAGTTGTGAATATTTGTTATTCTTTTGTATAACAATGACACATCTTACATAGCTTTTTATAGAGAACACTGAACTGTTAGTAATTCCTCTCCCCCCAAGAAATGTACGTGCTAATGTCCCTATCACAGCCACAAACCCATACGTACATAAGTGTAAATGCAAAAAGCATGAGTCCATTTGAATCAATCAGATAATGGCTTACTGTAGTGAAATCACACACAAAATTTTTTTATGTGTTTGGTTGAGTTGCCCATATACAATTATAGTATTTATTTTATTATTTATGTTAATGCTGCTTATTATTAAATATTAACATAAACTATGGACTATGGACGGAAAGAGTAATCCATAATACAGAAAAATATAAATCAAATAGTCAAACTTATTAAAACAGACAGCGGTAAGCCTGACGTCAGATGGGCAACTCTTTTGCTAGCAGTTCTGGGGTCCCCGGTGGGGGAGACCGCTAAGCCAGGTCCTTACCATCTGCTTGCAATGACATCACTACTCTTCTGAATCCTGAGAGAGCCCTGCTGCTGGATAGCCAAAAAGAAGTGTACGTATTACACTAGCAGTGACGTGGACACTTAAACAAGAACCTCACAGTAAGTAAACAAACCCGATTCTGGCCAGAACGCACTGCCTCGCATTGCGGCCGGCTCACTTTTTAGTGAGGCAGGAGGGGGCGTTGGGGGCTATTAAAGTAAATGGCACCGTAGCCACGCCCTCCGGCCGCAATTCGAAACCCCCGCACGGGATCGCAAGGCACATTGTGCCTGCGGTCCGGTGTGATCAAAATGCTGCAAGCACTATTTTGATTGCACGGGACCGCAGGCACAATGTGCCTTGCGATCCAGTGCGGGCGATTGCATTGCAGCACCCGGAGGGCGTGGCTACGGTGCAATTCTCTTCAATGGCCCGTCACGCCCCCTCCTGCCCCACTAAAAAGTGAGCCAGCCACAATGCGAGGCAGTGCATTCTGGCCAGAATTGGGTCGGAACGCACTGCAACTGGTGTGAACAGGCCCTTAGAGGGGGATGAAAATTATCCAGGAGATGAGCTTTAACACTGTTTTAGTGTGCTTTGTATCCTTGAATTTAATGTAGTTCACCAGTGGACACAGCAAAATATAATAATTGTAAATGCAGGTAGCCTCATAGTTTGTAGTGTTCATATCCGATGTAGCTACCATCTTTCTTGCTACTTACATCTTTTATTGCTCTTGGCTGTGAAATGACTGAGAATTTCCAGTAGCCAGCAGATCAGGAGCATTGCTATGTCTCTTGCAGACAATATACTATACTAATACACTTTGGAGATTGTTGCATCAGGGGGTAAGACAATAGGGTCAGTTCACCAGTTTCCTAGCACAGCCCCTCCTACTTCCCTGTACATCATGGCCCTCTCCTCTTCTGAGAGTCTGTAATTACTGTACTGGCCTAGGTCCTCTGCCGCTCCCCTCACCTCCCTACATAACCTTTTATATAGCTGCGGGGGCAGGCGCAAGGTGGGACACTGTTTAGTGTCACTTGAATGACAGCTCTGATTCTGCTGGGGCTGCTGAAATCACATCTAAGATTATGGCGCCCAGCCGCAGTGCCAGGGCTTTTGGATGTCCATGTAAGGGAGACTTTACAGGTATATAACATGCATAAAATATGTTAAATGGACATATAATATTATGGGAAAATGTATGTTGAAATGAATGGTCTGGCGACAGGGACACAGAGTATCTTTTTTTTAGCCATGTTACTGTAATTTGTGAACCATATTGCACCCAATCAAAAAAAAGCTCATATTTATGAAACAAATATCCTTATTCTGGTTTGTTCACTTTGTGAATTGAGCCTAATGCCTCCACCGGACCTGTGCAGTGTCAGAAACCAGTATAGTACTGTGTCACCTGCACAATGACAGCAGAACAATGCATGTACGATAATGTGTCAATGTTTAAAGCAACACTAAACTCGGGAGTGAAATCTTAAAAATGCACTTAAGTACCTTAATGATGTATCTTATTTGTGGATCACTCAGCTGTAGCTCCTCAAATCATCTCTGAATTTGTGCCATAGTGCCACCACTCCAAACTCGTTCCCGTGTTCCATAGTCATAGCAACATTAGCAACAAACTCTTTACGATTAATTCCATAACAAAGACTACAGGCCACCACCTGAAACTGGTAGAAAAAAAATTCAAACACAAGGGGCGGAGGGGGTTCTTCTCAGTTCGCGCGGTTAGGGTCTGGAACTGCCACAAGCAGTGATTTCAGCTAATAGTGTGGAATCGTTCAAGAAGCTTTTGGATGATTTCCTGAGAAACGGTAATATACAGGGGTACAAGTACTCCTAAAATCGAGATGACTCGGGGATCTTTACACACACACACACAATAGGTTGGACTTGATGGACATGTGTCTTTATTCAACCTCAAATACTATGTAACTATGTAACTATGTTGGAATACAAATTAGTAAACGAAACGTGAGATTGTAGTTCATCACAGGAGTGAGCTTGGAAAGTACATGAATGCATTATTAAGATTTAACTCCTGAGTTTAGTGTCACTTTAACTCTTTTTCTTGGAATTATAATTAGATCCTATTATTTAAGAACATGCAGCCATAGTAGTACATGTGTGTAATTATAGCATATTGCAGCTTTTTTAAGTATTTACTTTTGCTATATAAAAAGCATTCAGTAACAGCTGACCTACTTACTGCAACAAAAGCTTTAAATTCTGAAGCAGTTCATCCTCAGCATATTAACGCACAAATGAGACACCATTCAGAATGATGTTGAACTTGCAGTTCAAGTATTTTCTACCTTTGGAATATTATACTCCAACTCTCACTGAACTTCCAAAGAATGAAGAGTTTACTTTATAACTTTGATGTCAATTGTCAACCCCCTAGTGTTTCTATGCAATTAAAGGCCTCCAAGACAGAAATTTCAAAGACCTAACTTATCATCACTCACTCATGAAAATCAACTCCAAAGCATTTGCTTGTTACGCGTATTTTCATTCAGTAAGGTTTCCCACATTTCTTTCTCTTGAAAGGATCTGGAGAATGACACTTTAAAAAGCTTAATCAGTGATTTAATTTTGAACAGTTGAATAACTAGTACTGCCTCTGTAGAACACAAAGCTAATTTCTAAGAGCAGACATAAAGGGGTCACCCTGTACGTACTGTAATAAACAGCCCCAAAGACATATGTGTCCGCCAATCACTGTTTCACTGTTTGATTTTATCTGGGTTGTAGTGGTGGGTTATATATGTAACCACAGTATGGCTTTTATTTTATAAGGAAAAATAAATGTGTAAAATGCAGTATCCTGTAGCACTCAGGAAAAAATATTCTGAAAAAAGCATACTAAGCAGAAATCACCTCTGGTTTCTACAGCTTGGCTAAAGGGTTTCACAAAGTATAGTACAGGTCTCTCTGCATGGTATAAAGCAGGTCTCTGCATCTGAAACAATATAAAGCAGGTCTCTGCATATGAAAGCAGGACTGGATCAGGCCTATACAAAAGCCATTTTCTCATCCATAAAATCAATATGCTTCTTATAATTTACCTGAAATTGTGCTTTACCCATACTAAAATTTGATAGGTTCACTTTTCATGAGCTAGTGCCAGCAGCCTTAAAGGTATATTAAAATGTTTTAAAATGCTGATTAACTTACAATCACAATGGATGGTGCTTCTTGCTGTTCAAAGTTTTAGATTCCTCCAGAATCAGCTAGTCCGCTGAGCATTGGGCCTGATATTCCGTTTTAGGGTGGCTCCATTCCCTTGCAGGGTCCTATGAACCACCCTTGTGTGTGCTAGTAAGCTGTGTGTGTCTACACAAATACAGAAGTACAGCAAGGTAAAGCAAGCAACTTCCTTCTCCCTTCTCCAAGCTAGTAGATGGAAGGCTGTTGGAGTCAGCTGTTTGAAAACATAACTGTAAGTGCTTGGGAAACAATTTAAAGAAGTACTTTGCGGGGCAATGTATATTTGTTTGAACTGGATCCATTATTGTAAAAAAGTTTGAGCATTTATTACTACTTTAACTCACCTTCTACTTACCCATGCTGCCCTTATTCATTGCAGCATTGCTGCAAAAATGCCTGAACCTTTGCCATGGGGGGGGACATAACATTAAATATATTTGCAGAAGGGATCTACTGAACGTGGTTGCAATGTTTTACTGGCTCTAATGCAAAAAAAACAATTGTAAAATTGTAAACTAGTAAATAGGTTTGTTTTTTTTAAAGTGGACTTTAGTCAATATATTGTAGGCAATATTGTTTCTCTTTGTGACATTCTATGGCTTTTACTTTTTTATGTAATTGTTGCCCAAAAATGAGCATTTTGTGGGATCAGTATGCTTAACATCATGTACAAGTAATCATTGTCTGTGTTTTATTACAGAATTTTCCAGACCCGGCCTGCAGGACCCACGAACAGGTTAGCACTATACAGAGAATGTTTCTATAAATAAATAAATGTAGATATATATCTATAGCTATATATACAGTGGGGCAAAAAAGTATTTAGTCAGCCACCAATTGTGCAAGTTCTCCCACTTAAAAAGATGAGAGAGGCCTGTAATTGGCATCATAGGTAGACCTCAACTATGAGAGACAAAATGAGAAAACAAATCCAGACAAATCACATCGGCTGATTTGGAACCAATTTATTTGCAAATTATGGTGGAAAATAAGTATTTGGTCAATATCAAAAGGTCATCTCAATACTTTGTTATATATCCTTTGTTGGCAATGACAGAGGTCAAACGTGTCCTGTATGTCTTCACAAGGTTGGCACACACTGTTGCTGGTATGTTGGCCCAATTCTATATATATATATATATCGATATATATGTTAAAATCATTATTGTAAATCGTTCACTTTTAGCATTCAGTCAGCCTGAAGGGAATTCAGAAAACAGATCTAACTCCTGATCCTGATTGAATGTGTGAAGAGAACAGAGGCTTTACTTCTTGTAATTATCTCAGTAGACAGATTCACTCCGTTTGATAAGGGCACATTCATTTCCAGAATGTAGTATGCCTACGTAACTCATAGATCGTTTGCGTTTCCAATCCATTCAGTGTAATCTTTGAAATTCTCCATTCTACAAATAATTCTGTTCTCAAATACAGCAAACGAATTCCCTATAACATTTCACAATGAGGGTTTTGATTTTAGTTTGTATCTACTTTTTACTGTTAATGTCCTTGACTTGTAAAAAAGGCTATTGCAGCTGCAATTTGCACAATTTCATTGACCTCAGACTTAGGTCTGAGGTCAATGAAAAGGCAGCGTTCCTTCTCGAGCTTGAAAAAGAGGTATCACTCCTCGAAACGCGTTGCTCACTGCCTTTTCACCCCGCCACTACCCTCTTCCCATCACAGACCCGACTGACAGCCGACAACTCTCAGCCCACGGCACCCGCACACTGCCCCAGCCTGCGCCGACAGTGACCGAGCAGCACGAGCCACAGCCGCGGTCACAGCAGCTCTGCCTGCTTCTGACACCGCTGATTCTCTCCCACACAACTCAGCCCCTGGACTCACACAGCGGGCCACGGACTGAGTCCCCATTCCTGTGGTTTCTCTTTCCCCCCCTTTTCTCCCTCGCCCACAGCCTCCTCTCCCCGTGTGTATACACATCCCCCGGCTCACCAGTTCCAGGTAGATACCACGGATGACCCGATCCTTCGCACCGGCCGTCCATCCTCTGGTCCCATGAATTAAAATGTAAGTGCTTATTCTTTTTCCTCAGCTATCCATTGTTTTTTTGCCCATTGCACCCATTGTCACACAATTTTCCTGTCATCTTCCCTGGGTCTTCCAACCCGGTCAGTTAGCCCACCCAGTGTTGCGCCCTGTTGTTTTTTTTGTTTCTAGTTTGCATATACACAGGCACTCCTCCTGCATTTCAGGGCTGCACACGATCTAGGGTCATACACTGTTTACCCCCTTATTACCATTACAAGAGCGCTGTTTGTACGATTTGGGGTCTAAGATCCAGTGAGTCATCATATTCTATACACAGTGTATAGAACGTGAGACTAGCGGCTGGAGGGAGCACTGTTATAGCTGGCCACCTTCTAGGATCGAGGAGTATAACTATTTTTTTTTAACCTAGACAAAAATGAGCAGTTAACTGTTGCAGTGCAGGACCTGCAAGGGTTAATAAGATTTGTGCCCAGAGCGCTGCCTTAAATATGAAAAGCTAAATACATCACATAGCTGAATTATTTTTGTCTTTCATATCTGCATAGTTCAGCTTTAAGGATGTGCATATTTTATATTCACATCTCCAACATAGGTAATCTAATAAAAATAAATGTTTAGACACAAGTATATAGAAGGTTATGCTCAGACGGAAAAAAAAAAATCTGTCTTCCAAAAACATTTTCAAAGCCAAGCATGCCTTCCAATGCTGGGAAAATTGTATTGGATGTTCACATTTGCACAGGCCATTACATTTATAACCAGCACTGTAAGTCAAATTTAGTAATCCCACCCATGTGTTCTTTTGTCTCTGGATATTATGGCTCTCAGTTTAATTGTCACCAGGGCAGGAATTCCTTTGTTTTACTAAACAAATGTATCCTAAGTTATAACATTCCATACTCCTACTATTGACAGGCCAGAAAATCCTCAATGAGTGATGAGAACCTAATCTGAGCATGTATAATTTAGAATACATCTGCACAAATGCAAATACAGACTAGGCATTGCTGGCCAGCTCTCTCATTTTTCTTTATTAATATTATATATGGAAATATTTATATAACGTATTATTACAGAAACTGGATTATGTGCATTTTTAGAAGATTATATACAACTTTTGTGGTTGTGTACAGCTTTTAATTTTTGCAGTCTTGTATTACTGAAAATGATAAAATACACTATGAAATATTTATGAAGATAGATAGATAGATAGATAGATAGATAGATAGATAGATAGATAGATAGATAGATAGATAGATAGATAGAAATATGTGTGTGTCACAAAGGTAATTATTACATTAAAAACATTTTAGATTTAAAATATAATATAAAATCCAGTTCAAACCTGCTCATGTGGAAAATGTTTTGCTGTTTTTGTTTGTGTTTGCTGTGTTTATTTATTTGCTTCCATTAGATTGTATATTTAATTCCCTTTTTATTATTTTCCATTATCCTATTTGAAGATTTTGAATGTGCTACCAAGTAAAATGTAAGAGTTTATTTGTTCTTGTATACACTTAACTACTGTTTTCTCATTATCTTGTTGCAAAGGTTTACATCCTTGAAAGTGAGATAACAAGAAAATTAGTACTTTTAGCTCTCCTGTCTTCCAAATAATGGTTTATGCAACCGTTCCAGCTTGCTGAAATTGCAGTCTTGTAACTAATGCTAATGAATTGTACCATGGTCATGCCGCAAAATGTGTCTGTGATGGTGTTAAGTGTTCTATTAGACAGACCACATATTAATTTCTTAGTGAGCATATGGTGGACAACATACTAATTAGAGTGATAGCCTTTTACCACCATTGATAGATTCATTAATTGGTCAGTTTATGACTGTAACCAGAGCACACAGTGGTTTAAACTAGCCATAAACTGCTCAGATTTAGCAAGAATCAGTCAAAATGCAAGCTGTGGGTGGCTTTGTTAACACCACCTAGCTCAACAAACCTCAAATACAAATTGAAGGAGCCCTTTTTACTGAACAGTGCATCAAATCGTATGCAGTCACTATTTGGGTATCCAGACGGTCACGGGTGCTGAATGTATGAATACAGTAGCCAGCAAGTGGAGCTTATGTTTTTCACGCTGTTTATCATAAATGGGGAGGGGGCACTGATTTATTTAATTCAGCTGTGTGGGTAGCTTTAGGTCCTTGGTCTCGATGTGCACAGTCAAAGCTGAGCAAACATAAAGAAGTCGTATTTTTTCATCATAGTTCAAACTACATATTTTTTTTAAAGTGCCCCCAATACCTCATTCACCATGCTGCCAGATATAGATGTTGATTTGCTTAAGGCAAATAGGTTTTTCACTTATAAAAGTGAATATTCACTTTGCAGGGAAATTTTCCCTTAGTTTAATGAATGAGGTGAAGGTCTGATGACTTCCATCATCCAATCATACGCAAGCAAAAATGCTGTTTTTTATTTTGTGATTTGGTATTCTTTGCAACGGGAATTTTTAGCACATTCACTAAGCTAAAGAAAAATTCCAGGGCAAAGTAAACATGTTCTGCTCCTCTAGTAAATCAACTACATAGTTTCACAGTAAAACACTGTTACAGGTAACATGGTGGATATATTGCCCTATATTATTGTAGAAACTACCTTTTCCTACAACGAAAACATGTTGTCAAATGTTGTGAATGTATTTTTCCTGTTAAATATGGTGTTAAATGGGCTATCTTTATTGGTCTGGCCATGGTTATATCTTTACTTATATTTAACCCAGTGCAAAAATGTCCAGTAGAGTACAGTATATTAATGAGAATTCTTTTATATATTATATATGTGCCAAAACTACCATGTGTAGTATTCCTAAAGGTCGCATTCATCTTATTTTTATTAGCAATCCTGGGTGCAGTATTGCCCAACATGTTGTTACACCAACAGTAAGATGTATTCTGAATAGTAATTGTTGACTGGCCCTGATTTCCAGGTACGGCTCCAAATAAGATTTGTTCCTGACAATTTTAGTCCATGACATCATATTAAACCTGTCAAAAAAAAAACACAGAGGTTGCCATTACAGCCCTCCTTCTAGAAATTATAGTTGCATGGATGTTATGCTTATCCACTGACATCAACATGCTAGAGTCATTGGCCATCTAAGCATTTACAGAGCAAGAGCTCAGCAATGACAGCCTCCATATTGTTTTCATAACTACAGGCAAGTGGGGTAGCACAGTGGCTCAATGGTTAGCCATTCAGCCTCGCAGCACCGGGGTCCCTGGTTTGTACCCAGGACACTATCTGCATGGAGTTTTTCATGTTTTCCCTGTGCTTGCGTGGGCTCCTCTGGGAGCTCCAGTTTCCTCCCATACTACAAAGGCATGCTGGTAGGTTAATTGGCTCCTGTCTAAATCTGCTATGTATGCATTTGCAATAGGGACTTTAGGCCCCTCTCAGTTTTACAGGCAGACCAGATTGGATGCTCAGTGTAAGTCTATGTGCAGCCGTGTGTAAAAGGACAGATGTCCTTTTACACATGGTTACCCCCAGCTCTGGCCAGGTCCAAAAAAACAAACAGATCAGAGATCCATTGCACCACACCTGATCATGCCGGATCGGGGGTAATCTTATGTAAATGGGCACATGTCCATTGATATTGAAACCCCCATAGACCAACATGGGGTCCAATAATTTCAGTTTTTTTTAAAACTGGAAGAACACGGATGTCACAGCGGTGACATCCACTCTGTACTGCTCTAATCAGCCCA